TTTTTTTTTTTTTTTTGGTGCCGGGGATCGAACTTGGGTCCTTACGCTTGCACAGCAGGCGGTGAAACCACTGAGCTAAATCCCTGGCCTGAAAAGTCTCATTTTTAAATCTTCCCTGGCATCGAGTGCCCAGTTCACTTTTCTAGTACAACTATTAAATATACTTTGACTATTGATGGATATTTTCTATATATAAGTATTTATATATTTAAGAGGATTTTTTGTTTGCTTTCTTAGTATTTTAATCAATTATTAGTATTAAATGCATTTCTATTGTTTTTTTAATACAGTTTAAAATTTTTTAAAGATCCAAGTAATTGTTTAAATCAAATTACTTACCTATAAAATTATAAATGCATTTTAAAGAGTATAGATTGTTAATGAAACAAGATTTTGGAAAAAGGTAAGAGAGATAGAAGGGAGCTATTATGAAGCAAGCACATTTGCAGTTTTCTGATAACTGTTTGTAATCATGTTATTCAGTCAAGGCATTGTGGTTTTAATTCTGAAACTTAGAGAATCCCTTGAATACTTGTCTTTGGTGTAGAACATGACTTTTATAAGAACTGTACACATATAATTATATCAATGTATATCCGAATAGAGTAAGACACATTAACTTTTTATAAATTTGCCACTGGAGTCAATAAAGCAGCTTTTTTTAAGAAAAAAAAAACCATAGTACTTTGAAAAAGGAGATTAAAGAGGGTATCAGAAAATGGAAAAATATCCTTTGTTCTTGGACAAGCAGAACAAATATAGTGAAAATAACTATGCTTCCAAAACTCTTACACAGATTTAATACAATCCTGACCAAAATACCAACAGTATATCTCACAGAATTAGACAAAACAATCCTAAAATTCATTTGGAACCAGAAGAGACCTAGAACAGCAAAAGCAATTCTGGGCAACAAAGGCAATGCAGGAGGCATCACAATCCCCAATGTGAAGTTATACTACAAAGCTACTGTGATAAAAACAGCATGATACTGGCAAAAAATCAGACCTGAGGATCAGTGGAATAGAATACAAGATGCAGAAACAACTCCAAGCACACTCAGCTACCTCATCTTTGACAAAGGAACCAAACACCTTCACTGGAAGAAAGATAGCCCCTTTATTATAATGGTGCTGAGGAAATTTACTTTCTATATGCCGAAGATTAAAAGTAGACTCATATCTCTCATCATGTATTAAACTAAAATTGAAATGGATCAAAGATCTAAATATTAAAACAGAAACACTAAATCTACTGGAAAAGAGAATAGGTAAAACTTTTGAGGACATAGGTGTAGGCAAAGAATTTATGAACAAAACCATGATCACACAGGAAATATTACAAAGAATCAACAACTGGGATCACATCATATTAAAAAGCTTTTGCACCGGATATGGTGGTGTATGCCTATAATCCTGCCACTCACGTTGAGGCAGGGGGATCACCACAAGTTTGAGGCTAGCCTAGGGTGCACAGTGACTTCAAGGCCAGCCTGAACTACATAGCAAAACCCATCTCAAAAAAAAAAGATACATTTTAAGGTTATAAAGATACTGATTCTTCTGGCCAGGGACGTAGCTCAGGGGTGCAGCGCCTGAGTGGCAAGTGCAAGGTCCTGAGTTCAATTCCCAACACACACAAAAAAAGGGTATTGATTCTTCCACAACTGACTAAAACAGAAGAAATAAAATATAATAGGAATGGAGTAAAATGAAGTATTGACCTACTAGATAGCAAAACTTATCACAAATCTGGTGTAAGACTGTGATACTGGTATACAGACCAGTGGGTTGAACAGAGCCAAGAGATAGAAGAAGGGGAAGCAAGAAGAATGAAGATGAGTTACGTGCACATACCACTCCACACGATGAATGTAACCATTACATACTGCAAACATGGACTAGTAAAAATTACGTTAAAAAAAGAATATAACAAAGAGCTCAGTAACACACATACATACATGACAACCTGATATAGGTCAGAGAAGTCATTCATCACTGGCAGAACAGGTCACCTATTCAACACAATAGGCCAAGATCACTGATTGTGTGAAAATGTATATACACAAAAGAACAGACCCATGGCAGGGGGTGTCTCGGGAACAGGACACAGGATTAGCAAGCAGGAGGCCTTGAGTTCCATTCTCAACGCGGGGAAGAAAAGTTCCAAATGGAATAAAGACTTACATATGAAAATAAAACTAAAACTATTGGAAGAAGTTATTAGAGAGCACCTTCATAACTTCAGAATCAGTAAGGACATCCTAAATAAAAATCAAAAACGTTAACTTGTTGATGATGAGATTGACAGATTTAAAAGCAAAAACATTTAAAAAGCCCAGGACTTGGGAGGCTGAGGCAAAAGGATCGCTGCCAATTCAAAATTAGCCTGGGTTACATAGTGAGTTTAAGGCCAGACTGAACTACATAGACCCTGTCTCAAAAACAAAACAAAAGAAAAAACACGAAAAGATTTTTAAAAACAAATAAATCCAGGTGTGGTAGCACATGCCTGTAATCCGAGTACTTGGGAGGCTGAGGCAGGAGGATTGCTGGGAGTTTGAGGACAGCATGGGCTACATAGTGAGTTCAAGGCCAGCCTGGAGACCCTGTCTCAAAAAAAATACTGACTGCTAAAGTCATTGCCATGGTGCACACCTGTAATCCCAGCACTCAGGGGGCTGAGGCAGGAGGATTACTGGGAGTTCAGGGACAGCCTGGGCTACATAGTAAGTTCAAGGCCAGCCTGGAGACCCTGTCTCAAAAAACCCAAATACAATATTTAAAAAGACTTACTTATCTTTTGGCGCATGCCTGTAATCTTACCACTCTTGGGAGGCTGAGGCAGGAGGATTGCTGTGAGTTTAAGGCCAGCCTGAAGTACATAGTGAGACCCTGTCTCAAAAAAAAAAGAGTAAAAAGACTTATCTTTGACTACTATAAGGGGTTAAAAAGTAGTATCTTCATCCATTCAAGGGTTTGTGGCCAAGGTGCCTATCACAAAGGCAGATTAACAAGAGCAAAATATGATAAAAATTACAAGAAGACTTTTTTTTAAGGCAGGGTCTCACTACATAGTTCAATCAGGCCTTGAATTCACTATGTAGCCCCAGCTGGCCTTGAATTCGCTGCCATTCTCCTGCCTCAGTCTCCTGAGTGCTGAAATCACAGGCATGTGCCACCATACCTGGCAAAAAGCCATTATTTTGGACCAAAGTCCTATCCTGGGCTTCAACACACCAGGCTAAAAATCAAAATGGAGTCACTTACACTACGCTTCATGTCATCAGTCTGAAACTAAACTGTTTAAACTTCAGAGGAAACAGGATTAGACAGATAACAGCCAAATTTTCCAAACTGGCCAGTTTCTAGTGCTGTGATAATGAAGTTTCCTCTCCCTAATCCCCACAGGATAAAGATAACCTGAAGTAATCTAATGCTAATCAATCATTTATCTTTCCACTATTCTATCTCCCTGACTCTCCCTTGTCAAGGAAATTAACTTTGAAATAACCAACCTGCTGTCGTGTTTTGTTTTCCTCTGTTCTTTTCTGTCTAAACCCAATAATGTTTAGTGTTCCTTAGATTATAGCTGTCTTACTAGTCTGCTTCTATTGTCAAAGTAATTTTCTCTAAATCTCCCTCTCCTTTTTCTTACAAAGACATCACATGCTTGTAATCCCAGCTACTTGGGAGACTGAGGCAGGAGGATCAAAAGTTGAAAATGTATAATAGATATCGTGAAATAGGAAGAAAATGTTCAAATGGGTAGAGGAACTAGGGAGGGGACAAGGGAAAGGAAGAAAGGGAAAATGAGAAAAGGAAAAATGGAAACAAAGCTTTTGTAAATAAGGAGGGGAAGAGGGATTTAAGGGAGGGGAGGGGAAAGGGGAAAAATAAGAATCAAGATGTATCCAGTACAGGTACAAATTCCTTATGATGAATGTGATGATTATGTACCTAAAATGTACCAATAAATTTAATTTTAAAAAGTTGAAAGTCAATCTGGGCAACCTATGGAGATCTATCTCAAAACAAAACAATTATACCAATTCATGGATTTAGGGCTCACCCTAATCCATTATGATCTCAGCTCAACTCATCTCATTTTAACTCTATCTGCAAAGACCATACTTCCAAATAAAGTCATGGTCACAGGTAATTCTTGAACTAGATACCATTCCACATCCCCAAGATTTGTAAGAGTTAAGAGCATAACAGTATAAAAGGCAATTGTTGGCAAGGTGAGGTACAATGCAGAGTCTTACATATTTCTTGGTCAGATAATAATTGATATAATAGTTTTGGCATTATCTTTAAAAACTAGATACATGCATACACAAAATTCCAGTAATTCTATTCCTAAATTGATACCTACAGAGAAATTCTGGCACATGTATAACTGAACATATAATTATGGAATATTCACATCATGGAATTTCTTTTGGTTTGTTTCTGAGATGGGGTCTTCCCCTGCAGCCTTGGGCTCATGATGCTTAACCTCCTGACTGCTGAGATGACAGGCATGTGTCACCACAATATTCTAGTTCTCAATTTTTTTTCTTGTGTTACTGAGGATTGAAGCCAGGATCTTGCACATACTAGGCAAATGCTACCGATTCGCACACCCAGCCCTTTTTTATTTCGGGTCAGGGTCTTGCTAAACTGCCCAGACTGGCTTGAATTTGTGATCCTCCTGCCTCAGCTCCCACACAGCTGGGGATATAGACTATGGCAATGTGCACAGCCTCTGGTTCTTAACTGGGACCACAGATTGAAGGAACAAACTGGCTGGTGTCAATTCCTACCGCTAAGCTCACCAACTAGTAACTGAAGCAGTCAGACTTCAGAGTCTATATTCCTAAGCACCACTACCAGGAAAGGGAAGATGAACACAGAAAAGAGGACAACTCCACTGCCCACCCTGTTCTTCTCTAACCAGCTCAGGCTTCTGGACTAAGCTCTGTCTGCATTAGGGGAAGGGCTGCTTGGAGTGCTGATTTTAAATGCACATAAATGTTGGTGTTTGGGCAGCATAAGGGATCTCATCCTAGCAAGGGAGGTGGGCTTTCTGGCATAATCAGAAAGGTGTGAGAGAATAAAAAGTCATCTACTACAGCAAAGGGGCTGTAAAAAATATCTAACCATAGTTTTTCCAGTTACTTTTAGGAAAAAGGAAAACAAACAGAGATATGAGCTCACAGGACAGGTCAATTCCAGAATAAACCTGAGAGGGACCACTCCAGCACTAGAGACCAGAGTGGCTACTCTCATACGGCTATAGGTTTTTTATAGGATCATGGTGGGGGTGGGGTTCACTGAAAAGGAGTTGCACTTACCACTTAGGGACAAGGTTTGAGAACGCACAAGGAGGTGCGATTACTTGTCAAGCACAGGGCTGAGGAATGGTGGGAGTTGTGGATTGTAGCTATGTCAGTGGGCCTGGGGCACTTGTGAAGCACAGGATTGATTAATGATGGAGTTATAGATCGCAGCCATGGTTACTGGGCCTTATCAACCCATGATTATACATTTCTAGCAGGTATACAACCCCAGGGGCGGGCAGTAGTGTAATCTCTGCTCAGCTCAGAATGGCAATGGTCAGAGGCCTTCAGTCACACTCTGAGGGCCCAACTGATGGAGGAGGGCAGGCCAAGATCAGAGAGGAGAAAAGAAATGGCAGCCCCCGAATCAAGGAGGAGATTGATTTTTCTTCCCTGCTACAGTTAGAGTCACCCAGGGCCCGAGCAGTGACAGCCGTCTGATTTATGGGGGCTTGTGAAGGGTGCCATGGCCCCCTCAGTCTTCTTGTTGGACCAAATCCCAGAGACCTTCAGCCCTGGGGGACAGTCAGCTTTCCATGGTTCCGTCTGCAGAGGAGCAGGGGAGGCGGCTCCTTGCCCTTCCGTGGCTGTGATGCCCATCACAGTCCCTATGCAAGTGTCTTGGCTTTCCCTCGCAGTGGCAGCAAGTGGAAGAATCGCCTTTAGAGCCCTAGGGTTTAACTGACCCTCCAGAAGGCGTCCACTGGGGCAGCTGCCTTTTCCCGATCTTGCCTTTCCTTCTCCTTGGCCTCCTCTTGGTCTCGGTCTTGCAGAATGGGTTAGAAATGTATTCTTCCGGGTCACCTCTACCGAGTTAGGGAATAGAAGGGTACATTTACGTAAAGCCTGCTGAGGGATTCTCTTCACTGCCCTGATCAATGATTGATAACTCAGAATAACTAAGAGGCTTAGTACAAGTCCTTTGCAATCCTCCATGATGCAGGCTGGAAATATTTCCGTGCCTACTCATCCTCGGTATCAATGGAGCCCAGCTGGAGTCCTCTCGGGTCAGCCTGCCCAAAAACAAAAAGAAAGAAAACAGGGCAAAAGCTCTAAAGGAGCAAACCATAGAAGAGACTAAGGGCTGGGTAGTTAGGTGGTGAAGGGCCTAGCATGTACAGGGTCCTGATTAGGGGAGGAGGAGCAGCCAACAAACAGGGAAACACACTCAATCTCAGTAGGAGTCAGGGGCAGTGCACAGACTGAAACGATACCATTTTCCATTCAGGAGATTGAGATTACTTAAAAATCTGATGAGCCATGAGCAGTGGGGTACACCTGTAGTCACAGCTAGGAGGGAGGCTGAGGTGGGAGGATCTCTTAAACCCAGGATTTTGAATCCAGGCTGCACAACAGAGACCTTGTCTCAAAATTCAAAACAAATGAAAATCAATGACACGAACATTATAAGGAGAAGAGGAAAAAAATATGAATTCCATGAGCTTGTATAGATGCAAATTGATATAACCAGGCCATTTTTAATAATACTGAAAATAAACACAGTAGAAACCCAAAACGAAACACCATAAAGACACTCACACAGTGAACACCTCTGTCAGAATCTACTGATTGTTGCAGGGCTGGAACTAGCCTAATTGTTCTTCAGAAAGAAACAAACTGAGAATCATCTATATGAATTGCAAAAGGAGCCCAAATTCATATATAAAAATAGAACAAATTTCAAAAATAAAGTGAAGTCAGGTGTAGTGGCTCACATCTGTAATCTCAGCAATCAGCAGGCTGAGGCAGTAGGATGCCAGTGAGTTTGCGGAGCGTCTGTGAAAAATTAAAATTCATAAGTATCCAGGGGTGGTGCTTCACACCTATAATTTTAGCACACAGGAAGTTGAGGCAGAATTGCAATTTCTGGGCCAGCCTGGGCTATACCAGAGTTCACAGTCTCGACTACATAAGTTGGATCCTGTTTCTAAACAATCAGTCAAACTCCAAACAAAAAGTCACATACTATTTGTTAACCTCATTATGGTTTATTTGTTTGTTTTGGTTTTGGCTTTTGAGATATATAGTTCAGGCTGGCCTTGAATCACTGCATTATGGATGTTTGTTTGTTTGTTTTGTTTTTTAGGACTGGGGATAGAACCCAGGGGTAGGTACTCTACTATATAGCTATATTTTCAGCCTTCTTTTTTTTTTTTTTTTTAATTTTGAGATAGAATCCCACTAAATTGATCTGACTGTCCTGGAACTTGCTTTTGTTGTTGTTGTTTGTTTTTGTTTTCAATTTTTTTGGGGGGGTGCTGGAACTTGTGATCCTTCTGCCTCAACCTCCCAAGTAGCTGGAATTACGGCTCACTATAGTTTTTTTTTTTTTAACTACAGTTTAAAAAAAATAGTTTGCATTAAAAAAATTTTAAAGTTAACTTGATTCATCAATGAAATGTTTCTTTTTTAAAAGCCATTGACCAAGTTGACTGTATGTAATTCAATATCTCTAATCTTTCAACTTCTTCCATAATCACACATAATTACACAGCAATTTTGTCGGTTTATAATAATACTGATTAACTCCATTACAGGCTAATTAACGATGCATCTGTAATCTTTTACAAATAACTTAAACTAGTAAATGCAACTGTATCTCCTTCCAAATGTCAACCGTATATTCTTCAGTCGACAGATAGGAAGCAGCATCCTTTTAGGCCTTGAAACAATTTGTAACTGCCGTTTCTAATTGCACCCATACTACCACGTAGCCACGGTGCGAAGAGGTAGAAACGCAGTGTCCACGGCAGGGGTGGGGTGCACAACAGCAAAGGGAGGACAAGAAAAACGTTGCTATTTCTAATTTAAGAGAGCATGTGTAGCCATGAGCATCCGTGTGTGCATGTATAAAACTTACTGGACGAGCGCAAGGTCCCGAGTTCGATCCCCGGTACCAAAAAAACCACAAAAACAACACTGGAATAGGCTGTTCTATGTAAATTCTTCCTGTAGCGTATGGTTCATCTTATTACCTCTCAAAAGTGCTGTTTCCCAGGTCCACTGCTGAGCCCTATTTTCAGCACCCCCTCCCCCCAGGCTATCCAATTACCGACTGCGTGAAGTGAACTGGACGAACAGGAGAGACTCAGTAGAACCTCTAAATCGGGTGTTTTTAAACACCCTTAAATTTTAAAGGGTGTTTTGAACTTCTAAATCCTGGAGTGCACTTACATTTTTCTGATGATACCGTTGTTGTTAAAATGTATTGGCGACTTCAGAGAAAGGACCACTGCCTTGTAACCAATCTCTCTTGAACCACACAGAACCACGCCGGGCAAGCGGCCTGGCTCAGCTCGGCCTGGGGCGGTCCTCCGAGGATCAGCGCCCACTAGGGGTCGCTGCGCCGGCGCCAGCGAGCCAGTGCACCACGTGCGGGCCTTTCTGGCGGGGCGGGCGCCCGCAGCGGAAGGGGCGGAAGGGG